ATGACTTTCAGTCCAAGCTATTTTTACATATGAGAAGTCTCAAAATTAAATTTGCTATTTAACCACTTAAGATACCATTCGAAAGATTATAGATAGGCTGGTTTTAACCAATTTCAGGCACTAAAATTGTACTTAAAGCTTTACCTCCATAATAAACTTAACATACAAATTTACCATAACAAATTTAACATCCTCATTTTAAAATCTGTGTTTTTTTAAAGATACCAGAAGGCTGGGCTATTGGTATAAATTGTGGTTTCATTCATTTCCCTATATTATACAAAAGTTAGCAGTCTCGTCTCCAAATCTTTTTTATACTTAAAAGAAAAAAAAGAATTTTCATTAAAATTGAACAATTGGCCTATGAAAGAAGGAAGATTATAGCAAAATGCCCTTGACCTTCTCTCAAAAACAGAACCAGGCCCACATTTGAGGAATACCAAATGATTCTCATTAAGTAATGAGACTATTTTCAATGACATGTGTCTGACCAACTTTAATTTAGTTGGCAGGACTCATGGCAGCCAGAGACCCAAAAATAACACACAGCCAGCAGTTCCTGCTCAAACACACCTAACAGACGTATTTCACACTGTTTTAAGGATGCCTCACCCTAGACAGACAGGGTGTAAGGTCATATGCAAATTGTTGTGGCATTAAACATACATTCCTTGTGACAACACTGACAGGTTGAATTTAATATCCTGACTTCTTTTCTCTCTTCATAAAATTCACTCTAACTTGGACAGGGTGAGCCAACAGATTTGGTTAATTCCAGCCCCTGCCCCACCCAATAAGCTCAAGTTATTTTTAACTTACAACTACTGCTGATAAGTATTTTTTAAAAAATACCCTTTCCGAAAGAGAAACTATGAAAAAACAAAATACCATTGCATTTCAGTGAGAAGTTGTCAGTCCCTCGGCCAAAGCTATAAACGAATGTCATTTTGGGTTAGAAGCAACACAGCCCTTCATATTTATCAAATTTATCAGTTCTTTCTAAAAACAATTTCTCTAAACATCCTTATGAGGCACTGGGCAGGCTAAAATTATGCTGGATTTACCTTTGAAAATGTAGTCTTCTGTACAGAGTAAGGCCCATTTCCATAGTTCAAGGTCAATAAATAGTAATTGATAATATGCAAGCTATCATTTCATTGTACAATTTGCTCCAATAGACATGTTTTTCCATATCTGGAAATTAGCTGAGTGAGCTATGCTCCACACCCTCAAAACTTAAGATTTGGTGGGAAAGATAGATATGGACTTAAGCAAGTAAAAGATGGTGGTGCAAACTTTGCATAATGATAATAATAATAACTACCATTGGCGTTGGCACCATTATAGGTACTCTATACATATTATCTCAATAAATCCTCACAACACTCTTTGAGGTAGGTACTGTCATTATTCCTATTTCACAAATGAAGAGGCACAGAGAGATTAAGTAACTTGCTGAGGTCCACAGCTATTTAAGTGGGGAACTATGACTTGAACCCAGTCAATCTGGCTCCAATGGGAGTTGAAGATAGACCTGGGTACCACCTTGGGTTCCACCACTTACTAGCTGGGTGATCTTAGGCTATTTAACTTTTCTGAGCCTCAGTTTCCTCATCTGTAAAATAAGGAATAATAATACTAGCTCACAGACTTTTGTGAGGAGTATTAAACAGGATTATGTTTACAAAGTGCTTGGCACAGTATCTTCAGCATGGCTAGCATCCGCCATAAGGACAACGAGCACATTAAGACACATTTTTCTAAGATGCCACCTTTTGACTACTTTCGCTATTTGCCTCATCAACTGGTAAGGTACCACCCTTGGAGAATTTAGCTACACAGGGTAGGACTGGGGGCTGCCAACCTCCCCTCCTCCCTACCCTGCTACGTCCTTAGAAGTAACAAGATGTCAGTAGATGAAGACATGGGAATAACAGCATCCCAGGGTAGTTCAACGACATTTACTGAGTTATTTATTCATTGCCTGTCATATACCAAGCACCACGATAGGCACTGTAGTGACTAACCCACTGAGACACAGCCCAACTAACAAGGAGCTCACAGCCCCATAGGGGAGAAGCACACATTAAAAAGATCAAATACCCAGCATGCAATCTGAGCAATCTGTTGCACAAAGCTGTTCAGGAGAGGCAGCAGCTCAGTGTTCATGCAATAGAACTCAAAGCCACGGACTCACATCGTGTACACTGCTCAAACCATCAGGCCATGCTGGTCCTCCCCAGTCTGTGCCTTGTGAAATTCTAGAAGTATCCCTCTGCCTCCACATCTTCAGTCTGAAGCTGTGACACTGATACTTTGCCTTTGTGATTCTCGAATGCTCAGCCATGATAAGACTTCCAATCACAGAGACTTCGCAAAGTCAAGCCAACATCTGATGTGAAAGTGACTGTTCTAGACATGGCCTAGCACATTCTTTACCTTAAGGGGCTCAACATTACAAGGCTTCCTAGTAGAAATCATGTGTTTGAAGAAGTGTCAAATTAGATTTTTAATTGTGTGAAAAATCTAAAGCAGTCACTCACACTTCAGAAGAAGCCTGGGTTAAGATATGATAGCCACAAGTTGTTTTTTTTTTTTTTTTTGGTTTTCTTTTGAGAAGGAGGATAGAGCTAAAGGACTAAAGATAAACACTGAGGCTTCCTGAGATTAGTTCTTAGCCAAAAAGGACAAAAAAAAAAAAAAAAGTGGTTTCCTCCTTGTGCTTGAATTTTAGAAGTTAAAAAAACTTTATAAACTTTCAGCCACTCAATCCTTTTTGTAATAGTCAGCTATTGACACAATAATGCTATGTAATAAAAGACCACAATAATCTGGATGGCATTCAGGAATGAACATTTATTTCTTGCTAACATATCTGTAGGGCAACTGGGGTGTCTGCTCCATGTGTCTCATCCTGGGACTAAGGCTTGAGGAGCAGTGGCAACCCAAAGTATGCTCTTGCCAGGGCCTTGGTAGAAACACAAGGGGATAAGCCCAACAAGAACACACATCATATAGTCTGCTCACATCACATCCCCTAGCATCCCACTGGCCAAGGCAAGTCACACGGCCAAGTCCAATGTCAAGATCAGAAAAGTACACATCATGAAGAGGCCATGGGCCACGGGGGTGCATAACAACACTGAAGAGGAGGAAAGAACTGGTACCAACAATCTCACTCACCGTGCTTTCTAAACAATCCTGAAAGGTAGGCATTAGAGGCTCTATTCTTTCTTGACAGCATAGAAAATTGAGCCTCCAGAATTTAAGTCATTCATCCAGGTCAAACAGGCAGTATGTTGCTCTAGCAGAATTAGAATTCAAATCTTCTGCCTTCTGTGGTTTCTAGAGAGATGTAACTTGCTGACACATAACTAGCATGCATCTTTAATAATCACATCCCTTAATTATGCTCCCTTGCAGATACCAATTCTCTCCCACAAAGGCCAGACCCAACATTGTCTCATCTGTCAGCGTGATCATATTGTTTATCATTTGTTTAGGACCTTCCGCAGTGTTTTTACAAGCGATTTTTACTATTACTACACTAATAAATTATGAATGGTGGGAAACCCGAATCAGGAAACTCTGGCTACTTGAAAACAGAATTTACTAAAAACATCTCCTTCCCCCTCCAACGTGTACCTCCCAGGGCACACACAACTTGCCTACTCTGAGACTCAAAGATTGCACAGAGTCGGTGGAACAGAAGATATTGATGGCTGCAGAGGAAGAAATATGGAGGAATCAAGTTTGAAGCTAATTCTTGAGCATGGAATTTTTACTCTGCTGCGACTGCTCTGTGGAATCTAACTGCCAAATGGATTAGACTGTGAAGCATCATAACTAGAAGTCACGAAGGGCAAGAAGCTACCCTGATGCCAGCAGCCTCCCACATCCGTTCACCTCTTCATACAACCAGTTGTTATTGAAGGGCTACTCTGGGCCTGGCAAGGGGCAAGGAGCTGGGATGCCCCAGGAACAGGACGGACCAGCTCTCATGGAGTTCACATTTTGCAGAGAGGGACAGATTGTTACAAAAAAAAAAAAAAGTAAAAGGAAACAGGGTAATTTCAGAATGTACTAAAGGTTGTGAAGAAACTAGCCTTGTGACCCTGGGTAAGTCACTGGCTTAACCCTTCTTTGGGGCCCTCAACGCCCTCATCCGGAAAGCCATATATAGCTCGCCCCCGGCCGCCTGCCCGCGGTGATGAGGATTAGGTTAACAAGCTCAAGTCTGTGATGGCCTCAAGCTCGGGCGCTGGGGCACGCCTGCGCACTGTGGGCATCTACCTCACCTCCTTTAGTCCCCATCAGTCGGGCGGAGGGGCATTCTGGGCCCCTCTCCCTTAAAACCCAGCAAAACTAAAACTAAACTCCTGGCCTGATATTTCCCGGAGCGGACTTAATAGCTCAGAGGATGCTGAACAGCGGGAAGGGGAGGAGGGTACAGAGGTTCCTCAAAACCAAAGCCCAGAGCCCGGCGCCCCAGAGCGAGGTGCGGACGGTGAGACAGTGAGAGGGGCTAGGACACCCCTAACCGGCTCCTGGCGGCGCTGTGCCGGGCCAGGACCGAGGACCACCGCGCTGCTCGCTTAGGGTGCTCAGAGCGGGGTGGGAGACTGTCCTTGCTCTCCACCCCCTTTCTCCTCCCCCAGCCCTCACGTTCTGCGCGGGGACCAGATGCCGCCCGGCCTCCTCCTCCTCTTTCCTTTGCCACCCAGGCAGACAGGCCTGACAGCGGACACGTTAACAATTTGGGGGCAAAGGGGTGGGAGTCTGTCCCTCCTCCCCATCCCCGCCTCGCGGTGGTTCCTCGCTCCGCCCAAGAGCCGGGTGTAGGCAGTGAGAGAGGTCACGAGGCTGCGCCCCCTACCCTGGGGGCCGCGCTCCCACTCCCGGAGGGCTGCTCTGACTGCGGGGCTCGATGGAGGGAGGGAGGGAGGGGGCCTGTCCCTCCTCCCCACCCCCGCCCCGCAGTGACCCAGACGCCGCTCGGGCCTCCTCCTCCCTGCACCTCGCCAGCCCGGGAGTCGCAGGAGGACGGGGCGCGGCTTCCCGAGCGCCGGGCCTGGTTCTCCCGGCGGCGGCAGCTGCGCCCTGGGGGCGGGGAGGGAGCGCAGAGGGACCGGGCGAAGGGGCAGTGGGCGCCCCGGCCTCGCAGCGCGGCTTCAAGTTTCCACCGGCGCGCGGTTGTGCAACAGCGAGAGGAGCGGGAGCCGCGGGCGCCGCGGAAAACAGGCCGAGCCCATAAACAAAGCCACGTGGCCTCCGGGCCGGGGGGGCGGGCTGAGAGCAGGAGGCTCTTCCGGCAACAAAGAGCCGCGGCCAGCGGCCCGGGATAAATACTGCCGCCCGGACCGCGGCGCAGCGCTCCAGCGAGCCCCGCGCGCCCGGCGACCCTCCTCAGCGCCCTCTGCGAGCGCAGGTACCCCGTGCCGCACCGCCCCCCCCAACCCGCAGCCCTCCGCGCCAGCTCCCTGCAGCCGCCCCCCTCGCCGACCCCAGCATCCGGAGCATCCGCCCAGGGCGGCGCGTCCCCGAGGCCTCCGGGCCGGTCCAGTCCATCAGCCGGTCGCGTCCGCTCGCGGTGCCATGCCATTCCTCGGGCAGGACTGGCGGTCGCCCGGGCAGAGCTGGGTGAAGACGGCCGATGGCTGGAAGCGCTTCCTGGATGAGAAGAGTGGCAGCTTCGTGAGCGACCTCAGCAGGTGAGGGGATCCGCCACCAACTTCCAGCTACGCAAAACAGACCCGGGCTGGTTTCGGGGCGCGGGGCGGATGAATGGGGCCAGGCAGGGCTGAAACAGGGTGAGGAGGGAGCCCCTGCCTGGGGGGGATGGGAGTGAGCTGCCCGGGTTTCTGCAGAGGTCGCCAGAGCACGGGATCCGGGGAATTTAGTTTCTCTTATTGTTCAACGTCATCGTCTCCAAGTGGGCACGACTCCTTACAGAACCCCGGGTCCCTCAGAGAATCTGACGACAAACGCGAATCTTGTCCCCAAACGCTCAAACTTAAGCACACAGTTTCAGGGGGCCCCTGCCTTAAGGACACTGGAGTCGCGCGGTTTGCATATGTGGGGGCGCGGGAGAGTGGGCTGCGCGCCTTTCGCCGCTGGGGTGGCGGCGCTCGGAGCGCCCAAGCGCCGTGGGCACTAGTCGGGTGACGCGATTGGACACGGGTCCCGTCCAGAGCACCTCCAGACGCTTCCCACGCACAGGCGACCACAGTGTGGGCAGGGAGGATGAGTAACCAGGAAGGCGCGGCCAGATGGTCCCAGGGGCACCAGCGCTTGCGGAGCGATGGTGAAGACTGGGGGAGAGCCGCGGAGGAGGGAAAGGAGGCGGGGGATGAAACCCACAAGCCTTCTGCTTCGGGGGAGGATGAAGCATTTGCACCTGTTTCCTCAGTGGCCCTTTCGGTCAGTTGTCTTTGTATACTGAGTGCACCCCTATTTCAAGTGATGCCTATCAACTGCAGAAAGCCCACCTGGCTGGGTGAGCCTCTGGACTCGAGGTCCCACGTGAGCTCGGTCAGTCTGATGGAAAATGCCAGGCGCGCTGAGCCTGGTGCTCTGCGAACGCAGAAGCGCCAACTAATACGTTAGATGGTCTGGAATCTGTCAGTCCTGGATCTCGCCAGTTGACTTCCAGATCCCTGCCCTTTGGCCCAGATGGGGAGAGCAATGGAAGTGGGTGCAGCCTGGTCACCCTGGGTGCTTTTGCCTCTGGCCTTTGGTTAAAACCACTGGGCCCTGAGCCCTTAAATTGACTTTAAAGGAGAATTCTGTAACTGGACCAGGTTCCCGCTCACTGAAATCTACCAGTGGTTGTTTGGCTGAGCCCTTGGCACTCAATTTTAAGAAAACTAGCAAGAAAATGTGATTATTTTGACAGCTCAACTTCCAGAGCCCCCCATCTGTTTGTGATTTGTAAAGCATCAAACTCCTTTTATCTCCCAATGGGGGGGGGCGAAGGCAAAAGTATTTAATCTTGGGGGTATGTCAGGAGAGACAAGAGCTTATTGACCTTTCTGTTCAAGTTACTTGGAGGCAGTCCCTGGGGAGTTTTGGACTTCGTAGTGCTTTGGGGAAGCACTATAAAGACATCTGATTTATGGAAAATCAGATAATTTACTTACAGAAAAGTAAAAAGACCAACTGCTGTCACTAGACTCTTATCTTTTAGGGACTCAAGTTACCAATTATGCCTGAATTATTCTCCCTAGACTGGAAGGTTCTTCCTCGTTCCTAAGAAATTATGATCTAATATGTTGGTATTTTATTTCTAACAGTTCAGCTCCTTTCTAGGGAGGTGCAGCAAATGATCTGCTGAGCTGTGACCCAGTGGCTCACCCAGGTATAATTGTAGGATGCTCCTCAGCGGCAAACAGACCATTGGGTTCGGCAGGAGAGGATTCAAAATACAGTCTCTGGTTTGTGTAAATATTCACAGTGTACCTGCTCCAGTGTAGGAGAACCAAAGATGGTTTAACTTACCACAAAAGTTTAACGAGGCTGGGATCGGGTAGCTTCCCGCCCCTTTGTCCCCTTCTTGAGCCTTCTTTCTTTCCTCGAATTTCATACCTTCTGAACTAGAGCTGTGGCGCTACCCTCATTATCACAAGTGGTGATCAACATAGGGACCACCTGTGGCTCTTTGAGTCAGAGTTTGGGAATCCTTTGGGAGCTCCTGGCAAAGCAGCTGGCTGTTTGTTTGCAGAGTGTTGTTTTTTTTTTCCTCCAGCGTTTGTAAACAATCCCTTCCCTACTTCACATGAGAAGTCTGCCAACTTTTTAAAAGCAGTTGGCCTGCTGAGACCTGGGTTTGTAGTCTCAAATATCCCTACTGTTTTCAGTCTGGTGATGTTTCTCTATGATGTCAGGTTTGGGCTGAGTGCCTGCCTACACAGGTGAAGTTGATTACCTCTCCTGTTAGGAGAAAACAAAAGGCAGGCCTTTCAAAAGGGGTGGGATGTAAGACACAACTGAGAGGCGTGGTACACATCTCTAGCTCCATGTACCGTTCTGTGAGCTGGCTGAACAAGAGTGGGGGATGAAGGGGACATGTGTGTTCTAACTTGGGGGTGTAGTGTTGAGTGTTGACCACAGCTTGTCTACATAGCACCCCTTCTCTGGACCCTGCTGGCTGTTCTCTCTATGGCCCGGGCCCCTGTCCTCCTCCAGCAGCAGAATGTTACAAAGCCCATCACAGCTAAGTGTCCCAAACTGAGATCATGAGAGGATTTCAGATAAGCTTAAAGCAGGGCCCCTTGTTAAAAAGTCGAAACTACATAAGATAGAAGAGGAATGGCAAGTGTTAAATTTGGGGGAGCAGATTAAAAATGCAGGGAAACAGCTTGGCATGAATTGGGGTGATCCAAGAATGCTTCAAGGAAGTGTGGTTGAGGCACCTCACACAGCCCTCCTCACTAACAACCCCCCTCCCTGCCCCACCTCACCCCCAGGATGAGTAATTAGCCGTTCTTCTCCAAGCCTGCAGTCCTGCAGTTGAAATCCCCAGTCTTGCTTTCCAGTATAGCTAAGGCTGAACCAGGAAGTTTACTTTGGTGCCCTGGATGAGTAGTGCATAAGAAAATAAAAATAATAGTTAAGATTTTTACGAGTGCTTACTGTCTGCCAGGCACTGTTCTAAGAGCTTTGTACACTAGGCGGTTTGTTTTACCAGAACAATTCGGGTCCTAGCCATGTGAGTCTGACAATATGGGTACTGGAGCAAATTAGTATAGAAATCTCATTGGCCTTAATGTACAACTAAGCCCTTTGGGGCAGGCCACAGCTTTCTTAAATGGCCTGTTATTGCAAATGCAATGAGAAATAGGGCTTTACTGTTTTTCCCTTCCCTCCCTTTATCTCTGCTACCCAAATGACCTTATTTTGAAATCTTTCCACCTTTTCTAATGTTGTCTTTAAATATCTTGGTATGTGTGTGCTGATAGTATGTATCATAGGGCTGGGAGAGGTCTTTTTTCTTATTCTAGGCCTATGCCTATAAAAATCAAGATTAGTAAGAACTGACTACAATATAGTAACTAACTGGCTATTGAATTTACTGAAGAAAGTAGCCTCTTTAAATGGTTTTACTTATTTAAAAAAAAAAAAATTAGATGTCACGATTCCTAAATGGTGGCGGCTTCTGTTGTTAAAAATTTCAGTTGAAATTTTCCATTGGCTTTGCATCTCCTTGAAATGGGCATAATTGAACTCTTAAAATAGCCTGTAACTGAATATATTATTGCTAAGAAAAAGCATATAAGCAGGCAACACAAATAAACCCCATAGCCCTTCCTTCCAGGCCCCACCTCTGGAGTCCACAACCTAATAACCAAGCGAGAAGTGCAGGGTTTCTCTTTGGTTAAAGCTTGTCTACATTCTACAGTGGGAGAGCATCATCAATTATGTCAAATTCTTCTTAAACTAGCTTTGGAAATGAGTCACTTGGGCTTAAAGCACTTTGTTGTCCTTTCTGTGAAGAAAGCAAGTGCTCAAATTCCTTTGAGGCATGTTTTCAATTAGAAAAGAATAAGGTGAAATATAAATATTTAAAATTTCTGAGAAATGGTCACAATCTATGGCCCAGCCTCTGACAATTTTCTGCTAAACCTTAAATGTGTGATTGAGAATAAGACAGCTTCATTTTATGGTTCTTTATACGTGGAATTGAGGCTTAGGTTTTTATTCATGGTGCGTGTGTGTGTTTTCTTTAAAAATAAGCCTCCGTGTGGTATTTTTACACACAAAATGTCCTAACTTTGCTTTCTAAAGCTGTTCTCGGCTTGGTACATTGTGGACCAGTCAAGTGACCTTCCATCCTTTTCCTTCTCCTCAACTTTGAAATTTCTTAAATTAGCTTTAAGGACTCAGAGTTCTGTTCTCCTTTTGCTCGGCCCCTCATTCCCTGCTGACTTGGGAGCAGATGACTGACTGGATGGTGGTGTTATACCCCTACAGTCGTGTAAGCACACACACACTCATGCATGACGCAAAGCTGGCCCCAAACGTTCACCTTTGGCTTGCTTAAGAGAGGACCTCCAAGAGAGGGCATTTCTGCAGTAATCTCTCTGAAACCTAAAAATATCCTGTTTCCCTGAGTGAAAAGGAGAAGGCTAAAGATATTAGGAAACTCGATAAATGATATTAAGCAGGGCCTTACAAGGCAAGATTAACAAATGATTGATTATCCATCAAGCTTATTCTTGTAGGTCCAGAAACACTGAGTAGACTGGTGATGTCACGTGTAAGCATTTTAGCAAGATACTTGTACTTATTGAAGTGCTACTTGAGAGACTATTGTTGCAATGGGATGCTGGAAATTATTTCAAACCTTCTTTTCTCTTTTACCATTTACCTAATGTCCATGGAATGGAGACGTGCAGGTGTAGCTCATTTTACCCAACAGATGTATGTCCAAAAAAGATATAAATCAAATCACATTTTAAATTCAGCAGAGGAACTCAGAAAATGAAAAGACTCTAATATATTGGTGGTATAAGAAAAGCCCCCTAGTTTATGTTTTACTAGGTGGCATTATAAATCCTGCCTTGTGCATACATGCCCCATGGGGGTTGGGAGGGCAGGGAACCTCGCTTCTCATCGTACCTCAGTATTTCACCTGCATACCTTCTGTAGAAACTCTTCAGAGATTTACTCTGAAGTTACATTGTATAATAGAGTAGAACTCCGTCGGCCCCCTAAATGATAGCTCAGCCTACTGAGGGAAATAAGCCCTGACCCAAATTGAACCTGTACGTGCTTTAGTCACCTATGGATTGGGCAGTTCTGTCTTTTCAGCCCTTGTAAATTTATTAATTTTGAATTCAGCTTGTTTCATTTAGGACCCAAGGTCTTCACCTCGCACCATGATGCCTGGTGTTAGTCCAAGAATTATGTGAAATCTAAACAACTAACACCATACACTAACCATCTCCTAGAAATGGAGTTTGTAAGTCAGATTTTTGTAAATGTTTTAAAGATATGATAGGAGCGTGCTGGTTAAAATAAGCTTGAGTACACTTTAAATCGGTGAATCGTATGGTGTGTGAATTATATCTCCATAAAGCTGTTGATTTAAAAGTGGCTTGGGCTGGATGCTTTTGCAAAATGAAGGCCTTGTCTATTACAATGATGCCACTACGATTACTGGTCCCTCTCCCTCCCCCTGCATTCATCATTTTTGCTTAGAGTAATATTGTAGTACCCTGCATTGTGCTTAAAGAGTGCAGGGCTGTGTGTGCGACACAATGCAGGCACTGTTGGGGAATTCAAAAGAAGTAGAAGCCCCCATCCCTGCCTTCCACCCAGATGTGACAATGCTTCATCCTACAAGAGGAAAGTCTGTGCCTGTAGAGACTCCTTTTGAGTGATTATTTTATTGTGTTGTTTGAGGAGCATGTATGTTTGTGTTTTATAACCCAGGAAGTTATTTATAGAAACAGCTCACATTAAAGTATAGCTGTTACAGCTCATCCCTCTTGTCTTCTGTTGCTCCTAGTTACTGTAACAAGGAAGTATACAATAAGGAGAATCTTTTCAACAGCCTGAATTATGATGTTGCAGCCAAGAAGAGAAAGAAGGACATGCTGAATAGCAAAACCAAAACTCAATGTAAGCTGTTTGTTTTAAACTTAAGACAAAAGCGGTTTGAAGATCATTATGATTGGTTCTTTGAAAAAAAAAAATCACACCTCAAATGTTAGATATCTGCTTTAATGTTTACTGTGTCATTGACAGAGGTTACTGGGATCTTTGCACCCAGAAACCTGGCTGTGCATTTTACGAGCGGGATTAATGTGTTCTTTATAGACTTGTTTATAAGTCAGTTGCTAGTTGGGTTGTTTTTTTTCCCCTGCTTGTCACTTAGATTTGACATCGTTAATTTAGTTGTTATACAGTGATATGGTCAGCTGAATCAGTTCCTGTGTGTGCTTTTATTTTGAACTGTGTTTTGAAGCTTTGAAAATAGATTTGTTTCTCCCTCTTTCCTTGTATAAATACTATTAACATTTCTAGATGCTGTACGTAAGAGTATAAAGTTCTATGAATAAGCAGGGATTACAGATTTTTAGTTTAATCCATTTTACTACATGGTTTTCTCATGTTATCTGTTTCATTTCTACTTTTTATGGCCTTGTATAAGTTGTAGGCTTGGCATTTAAAACAAACTTGTACTTCAGTATTAGATTTTTTTTCATTTTAAAGCTTTGGTGTTCTAAATCTCACTATCAAAGATTTGGAGTGCTTCAGACAAAGTAAATTATCTCTCCAGTATTTATACACTGCAGAAATTAGTCATTTACATCCTCTTAGATTGTCGATAGAGTCTCTGTATTTTTTTTCTCAAAACTTTTTACACTTTGGAATAGATGAAAAAGAAACAAGTTTAAAATGTTGGGCGTGTTAGAAATTTTAAAGCTGTGTTTTTTTGTCCCTGTAGATTTCCACCAAGAAAAATGGATCTATGTTCACAAAGGAAGCACTAAAGAGGTGAGCATCCTTCTGTTTACGAAAGAGTAAGCTTAGCTGTATGCCTCCCGGGATAGGAGAGAGGGGAAATCGGGCAACAATGTTACTTCACATCATGACCATCTTCTTGGGTGTGGTGGTGGGTAGCAGCCCACTGCCTAGCCACCATCAGAATTTGGAGCAACAGAGAGAGAGAGAGAGAGAGGAGCAAAAGTCACTAGGTGGGCTCCCCAATCATTCAGTGAGATAATGTATGTAAAAGTGCTTCATAAAGATTAATATACGCATCTCAAATGTATTATTATAAGGCTGTGGCCTTTCCCTCAGAACAGCCCCTCCCTTGTGTTCTAACATCTCTTCAGACTTCAGTTAAGTTTTAGCCCTTGAAGAGCTGATTGCTCAATATAGCAGAAGTTTTCATGCCCATTCAGTGTGAGGCACCGAGCTCGATGTAGAAGGGGACAAGACATTGTAATAACTGCATCTGTAAGGCACGTTATAACACCCTTTCATGTACATTTTCTCTCTGCACAGCCATGTGCTCAGATAACTAGGATGCAAGGTAGTATGACAGAATTTCTATCACTGTCGGGGACCTTGGCAAACATCTAGTTCCCTCTGTCATTTGAGGCCCTGAGAGGGTGAGTGATACACCCAAGACCACCTGATACTCAGAGCAGAGCTGGGCTAGGAGTCAGGGCCCTCTGCTCCCAGTTTCTGGTGTGTCATAGATAAAAGATCAAAACTTCTTTTCTTCCTCATGAAGCCTTAAAAATGCTTCTGATTATCACAATAAGAAAAGCACTGGAGATGTGAAGCACGGTGGCAGACAGAGTTGACACAGTGGCTCTAATTCTCCTCCTAGGAGTATGTTACAGTGCCAGTCACCATCATCTCACACATCGTATATCCAGCTCCCAACCTTTCCCTGATAAGCAACTACTTATGATTTTCCCATTCTAGTGCGTGCGGAGAACAAGGGCCCAAATGGTACAAGTCACAAAGAGGGTGTTTAACGTGTGAGTCACTGGCTAAGGCTGCTGCCGGCTGCACTACCCATCTTTGTGGCTCACAGGGGGTTCCCAGAAAGAGCTTTTCATGACACAGGAAAGATGCAAATACCTATAGGTTACCTAAGACAGGCATCCAGCTTGTCAGTAGAGTCCAGGCGGATTGTTCTGGAGAATGACCTCTGCACCCCCTATTTTCATGTTCAGCGCCATGGATATTGTACGTTGGGGGAAGCTTTCAACAGGCTAGACTTCTCAACTGCCATTCTGGATTCCAGAAGATTTAACTACGTCGTACGGGTGAGTCTCTGTAGATTGTCCAGACTCTCACGTTGATTTGTCGTCTGGGGTTGTCTTGAAGTAGTTTCCCTCAAAAGATAACTTTTTGGGATTCTGGGAATTTTGAGGAAAGCAGAAAATGGACTCCTCAGTCCCCCCTCCCCTGAGGTACTTCAGGTTCGTATGTGGATCCCATTAGGGTGTCCTTGAGATTGGCTCCAACAGACAGGGACTGCCAGGATACTTCAAGGGAGCCACTCCTAGCCCTCGTGGGTCAATGGGAACACATTGCAGGCAGCGCAGGCTCTCGCAGCAACATGAGCAAAAGAAAATCCAACAGTAAGCCATTTTTAAAGCAGACTTGTTTTCAAGTTTTAAATTAGTAAAAAAAGGCTTGTTTTAAAGCCTTCTGCAGCTCTGATTGTTCTCACTGTCCCTCGTTGTCCTGCTTTGGTTGACTCTAGGTGACCCCAAGGCATTCCTGGTTTAGACCACAAAACTGGATGAGTTCAAAGCTCCTGAGTGCTTCTTTCTCCCACCCCCATGTGATAACAATATTCAGTCCTGTGTTCACCTAAAGCTTCAAAATACCTCTTTGGGTCAGTTGTCTTGCGTTTTAAACCCTATGTTGGAAAAAAAAATTTTTTTTAATGAGCTTTAGCAAAACATTAATGATGAAGGTGGTAAAGCAAATAAGTCGAACCATGACCTGCAAGTCAGTGATTCTTTTTAATTGGTTTATTGTTGTCCCTCTTCCCCCTAAGCTCCCTTGTGCTTTTTGTCAGTGATTCAACCTGGGAGGTAGCAGCTGTTCGGGTTTTAGGCTCAGAAGTAGGAGGGAATTTACCTCCCGTGGGTGTGGGTTGGTTGGGTTTTTATTTTCTTCTTCCTGGGTTGTTGTGCTTGTCGGTGCCGTGTCATTGAGTCAGATGATTGCAAAGGCTCAGCCAGAGCGATGACATTCAGGCCCCCTTGAGGGCTGGATTGTTCACCTGTCATCTGGGCAGATGCAGGGCTGCCATCCCAAGTGACCTGAAAAAAAACCCAGGCCTCCTTGTAGGTTAGAAGCTCTGAGCTGAGCTCGTGACCACATGAGCAGATCTGTCCACTCTTCAGCTGAACCCTTATTCCAATGCAAAAGGGAGGAAAATAAGAGACCTTCTTGATGAAATGCTCATGTCACTCAGTGTGACTCTGCCACTTCAGGGAGGTCACTGCGACCTGCAACCCAATCCAGGCTGGTTGGAGACAGGCCCAGGAAGGTCTGGAAACTCTGTTGCTAAGAATATGAATAGTTTCCATCTTCTAGATGTGAAAGGAAGACACTCAGATCTAATGTCTTGATTCCAAAGTGATCAGCAAAACGGTCAGTTTTTAGATGGTTCTACTTCCTTACCTGTTTTTCCTTTCACAATAAATAAATTAAAGCACAGGAACAAAGATCATAATAGCGAAAATCTATTTCATGCAATTATGTGCATTATCACCTTTTATCCTTTCAACAATCCTCTGAAGTGTAGGTACTTTTATTATCTCTGTTTAAACAAATGGAGGTACAGCAAGGGAAAATGACTTGTCCAAGGTCACAAAGCTATGTAAGCAACGAAATCAAGATTTGAAAGCTGGGCAGTTTTAAGAGTCCACGCTCGTAACTGCTACACTAAGTTCTATATAAGCAGAGGATTGAAAGGAAAATGGGCTGAGGTCAGATCCCAGCTCCACTACGCAGTTTCCCCTCTGTAAGAAGAACTTAGAACAACCTCGACTTCATAGAGTAGCCGCGAAACTCGTAACATATTGGAAACAAGGAAATACTCTGCAGACCAGAAGCTATTATTCAAAGTCAGCTGCTAATATTCATTATCACCCATGTACCAAAATTATGGTTGATTCTTTCTAAAATGCCTTTTCAATGTAGTTGATAAAAAATGTTTTTCTACTTTAAAAAAAATAATTAACGGAGGAATCTTGCACCTGATTCAGACTCAGCACAGCGAACTTGTCTGATAGTATCTAATTGTGAAAAAGATCGTGAGCACTTCTAAGTAATCTTTGAGTTAGAGAAACTACTGGATGCTTTCAAAGTTGTTAGGTTCAGAAATAGTGGAAAAATATTTCTATTTTGGAAAGAACAATCTTTTTTTCCCCTTCACTGTTAGAGTCCTCTGTAATTTGAGAAATAATATGTTATTTTTATAAAGAGCTTAAAACATTTTAATGATAGGCACTGTGTTTTGAGGGTTTTCTTCTAAGGAACTCAATACACGTCTCATATAGTCTTCTTATCCTTAAACCAACTTTGCAGTGTGGCTTGCCAATATGTTAGCCCCATCTTACTACTGCGACCTAATCGTTTCTTAACACTACAGTGATTCCTTAGCTCCAGTAAGAAACTCAACCAACTTCGAAGGCCTTTAAAAAAAATTTTTTTAATCTCTTTAAAGCCAAAGTACATTTTTAAAAAATGTCTCGTTTTCATGCTGGCTGTCATCTTCAGAAAAAGAGACATGCAGAGAGAATAAAAGAGATGGCCAATACTGTCATCTCAAAATTTTTCTCAATATGTATGAAAATTTTGTGGAATTTTTGGAACAAAAATTTTAAATATAAACTGGAGAGGTTTTCATATAGCATTCGTACCTTATTTTAATTGGCTTCAGGCTACACTCATTGTCTCTACCCACTTCTCTACACACCCCCAATGGCTTAAATACAATTTTAACTGCGGTTTCAAAGACGATTTAAAATCTTTAGAAGCAGCAACTTACCCAGTTAGGAAAGGCCATTAAAAAAATTGGTTTACACCATGCCTCAAGACCAACACATTTTGGAAATTCCCCTGGGGAGCTGGCAAGGATTCCAGGGGCTGGGCCGGTGGTGGGGTTGGAACTTGGTAACCGCAAGGAGGTGAGTGCGGACTAACTCACCCAGGGCACAGAGAGGCCAGTGGAGAAAGTGGGTCTCCAGTGAACCGGGAGAGGGTTTCAGAAACCACACGCCAACTCGCAGCTCTCTGAATTGAGCCTTCGGTGGCCCAGTGGTTCTCAACCCTGGCTGCACATTAGAATCACCTGCAAAGCTTGTTCTTCTACAGAAGCCCACCTCTAGAGTGTCTGATTTAATTAGCTGAAGGTGGCACCCAGGCATTTCTACTTAAAGTTATCCACCAGGTCATCCCAGTGTGTTTTCACGTTTGCGAACCATCTCAGAAACTACTTGGGATCCCAAATGTTATATTTTGCATCCTGAGGTTTTGAACAAGACACACTGAGGCATATGCACAGCAGAGGGCTCTAATTCTTTCATGCCGGGATGACATTTGGTCTGGTCCTCCCAGCTTTCTCTATGGGATGAGAATGTGGCCAAATATGTGGTAACTGTAGGTGCCATCTTCAGACCAGGAAGGTCCTGGAGAACTTTGAGTAGCAGTTTCCTGACTGGAATGAACTGACCCGTATGTGCTAGCAGTTCAGGAAGGACAAATGAAAGCTTGCCACCCCCCTCTCTCTGTCCCCCTGCAGCAGAGAAGAACGTCACAACCTAAACCAATGCACATTCTTTTTTTTTTCCCTGCATCACCACCCTAAGTCCATTTGAACGTTTCCAGCAAGTTATGCATTCCTACCACCCTAAAAGTCTTTTCCAAAAACGTGTTTTCGTTTAAGTTGACTGGCGGTTTGGCAAAAGAAAGGCTGAAATGTGGCACCATGACTCAAATTCAAACCCAATGCCTTAAATTAAGGGCGTGCTCTTGCCAAGCCTCTGGTGGGTCGTGGTGTGTATGAGCGGCCTCGCCTCCTCACTGGGTCCCTCTGCCGCAGTGACCTTGGATTCATTTGGCGCTGCACACACTCTGTGGCCTTCCTCTGCTGGACGGCAGCCTCTGCCACCTGGGTCTAAAAACTGGCGGTATCTTTTTCCATTGGGACTGAGAAGCTGGGTTGGAGGGAAGGAGGCCAGCCACCTCAACAGCAACAGAGTCAAAAAAGCAAAGCTGTGGGGGGCCGGCCCAGTGGCACAGCGGTTAACTGCACGCGCTCAACTTCGGTGGCCTGGGGTTCGCAGGTTCAGATCCCAGGCGCGGACCTATGCTACCTGCTGTGGCAGCATCCCACACATAAAGTAGAGGAAGATGGGCACAGATGTTAGCCCAGGGCCACTCTTCCTCAGCAAAAAGAGGAGGATTGGCAATGGATGTTAGCTCAGGGCTAATCTTCCTCAGCAAAAAAAAAAAAAAAAAAAAAACAGCCGTGAGCCCGTTTGAAAATGACTCTCAGAAATGGTTGGGAATTGTGAGAATCCACTGGGGGGCATTAACAGCGAGGGCACAGCGTGGGTCCTTCTGAGGATGCTGATCAGGCTGCTAGGGATTTTATAGGAGAAAGTCTGCATCTGTTGGAATACCTGCCTTCTCAGTCATGACAAGCATTCGGGCAAGCAGATCCTGCCAAGCAGGGTGCCCACAGAAGTGGGGGTTGCCCACATAAGCACAGAAGTAACGGGGCACTTGCAGAAAGAGGAGGCTTCCCACAGAAGTGGGGGCACCTGAGGAAACGGGGATGGCTGAGAGACCAGAACCAGGGGTGTTTTTGACCGTGAACTCCTAACAGTAAATAAATAATTTCAGCATAGACTCTTGATTTATGTATATTCATAAATTCATTTGTAAATCATATACCTATAAAAGGTACTAATAATGGTATCTACCCCATCCTGTTGCTGTGAGAATTAAACTGAATTTAAACAGATGAAATGCTTTTGAACAGTGCCTGGTACCTGGTAAGCCCTGAGTTGCTCTGGTTGAGGATGGGACAGAGGTTTATTTTAAGTATTTGTGAGCTAGGATCTGAAGACCCTTCGATTCCACCAAAGGAGGATCTCTCCAATGGCATGAAGTTGACAGCATCCTCTGCTAGGTCTCCGTACATCACTAATTGCTTCAGGTGAATGCTTTCAAATCCCCAAACCAGTACTTCTGTATTCAGTCCATACCATATACCTAGCATTGCCATAGCCACTTGAGAATCGTGTAAGACCTGGTCCCTGCTTGTCAGGAGCTTCTGAGCTATTCTGGGGGACAAGGTACCACTACTGAAGCAGCAAATTGAGTTTGGTCGTGTCCGGGAGAATGGAGGAAGGAGTGCCGGAGACAGCTTCTTGAAAGAGGGTAGAACCTGTGATTCTCCTTTCTTGAAAGAGGTGAGGATTTGGTGAGGTGGAGAGGCAGATGGAAGGCTTTGCAGGGACAAAGGGCGTGAGCAGAAACCTGGAGATGGGGAAGAATGAAAGCGAAGGGGAGTGATGGGAAAAGAATGGAAGCAAGGGCCAAGGGCAACGTGACATCTAACCTCATAGAATCGTAGGGTAGAGATGAGGAGTACTGGAACCCAATGTAAGCAGGATCCTTGAGTCAAACAAACTGATGCAACAGGGAGTAAGACGCCATTGCAAGTTCAGAAAAATCTGGGATGGATGGAAGACAGAGAGGCAAGTTTCTCTCGGCTGAGAATACAATTAATTTGTATAAACTTGGCCCTCCTTCTTAGGATTTTAACGCCTTCAGTTAGAGAGATGTTTCACTTGCAAATAATATTTACCCAATCTTGACGTGCCTGAAGATTATTAATGTAGCTGAAACTTTCCCTCTTCCAACCTGTCAGTGTTCAAGCTCAAAGTCAGGACAAAACTTTCCAGGTTTTTAATCTGTGTTATCCATTGAATAAATACGAGTCTTGGAAGTACGTGGCACTCCGTACAGGCAGAGGCACTGGCTGATGTAACCAAGAGTTTATTGCAAAAGACATAATCTTCCTATGGGCACCCAGCGTGGGTATTGAGCTCTTGAGAAATGGCAGGGGTTTCTTGAAGCTTCTCGAGGCTTCTTTCCTACCTTTCATAATTCTGTAGCATGTTTTCCAATCTGATATATAATTGAAACTGCAGAGCCCACTGTCATAGGAGGTGGAGGAGTTTAGGGATAAGTTATGTTCTTAACATTCTGTGCAAGATACAGTATGGTTGAGCAACAGCCTCATGGTTAACCTCGGTGTGGTTTTGTCTCAAACTAACAGGCTGGGCAGCTGCTGTTTTGTTGATGATTCTGAAGCCCCAATTGTGTAGTGTCCCTCTAGATCCCAGATGCTGCCCTCCTGGGAAGTGTTTGTGATATGTGTGCATTATAAGTAATTTAGTCCTGGGGCATCAGTCTGGGACCAGACCCCGTATGAATACCAGCCTGACTGTCCAGACCGTCGACATTGACCTTGATTGTGTCATTTGACCATCATGAGCCTCCTCATCTATAGCAGGAGGAATTTGGGTATACTATTTCCCAGGTCCCTTCAGCTATGACACTCCTTGATTCTAAAAGACAAATGTATTAAAAAAACAACAAATATTTGTTGAGCACCTACCCTGTGCCGGGCTGGGGTAGAGTGGTAAACAAAACAACACCTGCTATCCTGAGGTTCGTATCCCAATTAGACAATCAGCAAGTAAGTAAACAAGATCATTTCAGATTGGTATAAATGGAACAATGATGAACAATGAAACCATAGTAAGATAAAGATGGTGACTGGGAGGTTTTCATATAGGATAGTCGGGGAAGGTCTCTCTGAGCTCTGAGCAGGTGACGTTTGAGCTGAGACCTGAAGGATGGGATGGAGCCAGCATGTGAAGATGTGGCAAGGGCAAAGGGCAGGAGATGGGATGAGCTGAACCTGTTCAGGGAACCAAAGGCAAGCCATGTGGCTAGAGCAGAATGAGTTGGGGAAGCGCTGTGCAAAATGAGGCTGGAAAAGCAAGGACCAGTGGTGGTAAGGAGTTTGGATGTTTTCCTAAGTGCAAAGAGAAACCATTTGAGGGTTTCAAGCAGAGAAGTGACGTGAGCAGATGTATTTTTAAAAGTTATGAATGCTATGATGAACTGTAGGGAAGAGAAGATAAGAATCCTGCTTTTTCTCTGGGTAAAGTGAGGGGGGGGGGGATATCTCCCTTCTGCCCGTTCATCTTCCACACACCGCTTCAAACTGTGGTTGATATTCACTCTGAGACTGGCTATACGATATTGCTTGCAACTAGATTTTTCTCGTACTCATTGTGTCCAAAACCAGCATGAGCCAAAGCTGAAGGGCAGGATGTGGTTTCGGCAGATGGTGACCACCATCCCTTTCTCCAGTAGCCCAGAACCATTCCTGTTACTGCACAACGAGTCACTGCAGATCATGCCGGATACCCAGCCTGCCCACGCGGTAATGATACCATGGAATTCAGGAGGAGCCGAGAACCCTCCTCCTCCTCCCCCTTCACCCTCCTGCCTCTCCTTAAGCCACAAATTACTGGCACCTGGGCTAAAATTTGCCCAGCACAAAACAAACAGCCATTTCCAAACAAGACATTTTCTTCTTTTTCTCTTGTGGCTAGGGGCAGAGAATCCAGTTGGCTAAGTCATCTCGCTAAATAAATTGCTAGATACTGTCCTACTCCCCTAGGCACACAGCTCTTAACACATAAATAAAATTAATAAATTCTGTTCTCTTTACCACTAGTTCCACACAAGACTGCCTACTGGGTCTGGGCCTGTAGAATTAGGCTGATGTGAAAAGTCAGCCTAAATGTTTACCCAAAGCAATTGCCTCATTCTAGAGGTGTTATTAACACTTTCTGGGTATTATTTCTCCCTTAATGTTAAAAGCTGATTACATGTCACAATGTAATATTGGTATAAAATTTCCAGACTCTATTTCCCAGAATGTAACAATACATGATACTGCTACTATTTAGAGTAAAGTTTGGCCCTAGATGCAAATTTCCTTGGCCTTGGTGAACTGAAGTCCTTAAGCTATCAAAATACGTGTTCTCTCATAGACATCTGGGCTCGAGTCCTGGCTCCATCGCTTACTACTGCTGGTATATCTTTATGGGAGTCACTTAACTTCTCTGAGCCACAGTCTCCTCTTTTGTCAAATGGAGAACCCACCTCATTGGGTTGCCATTGAAGGTTAAACAAGATCATACACATAAAGTGCTTAGCAGAGTCACTGTCATGTAGTAAACACCCATTATTGTTAACAAAATATTTCATGTAGGTGCAACTATATGTAATTCATAAAATGTATCAACATTAACTTTTATCAACCGATCTGGAGCTATTAAATATATTATAAACATAATAAAAATGACAGGAATATAAAAATTTGAAAGCATTTAAGCATTTGGTTGACAATACATAAAATTGAAATACAGGGATTCTAAAGGTCTTTAAACCAGCTAATTTTACCCTATCTATTTTACCCATTACGCTGCAAATTCACTATGCCCTCCCTGGCAGTAATTTTACCTAGTAGTATTCTCTGTATTATGATAAAAACTAATGATGATAATTTATTGAGTATATTCTGGTATCAGGCACTGTTATGAGTTCTTTATGAACACGTTTAATCTTCACAGCAACTCTGAAGTAGGTACTATTATTATGCATATTTTACAGATGGGGAAACTGAGGCAGGCGGTTTGGTTCTGAAGCCCTCACTCTTGAACTCTGTGATATATATATCAGAAGTTGGCAAACTATGTCCCAAAGGCCAAATCTGGCCCCCCCACCTGTTTTTGTAAATAAAGTTTTATTGGAACACAACCACACCCATCCGTTTACATATTGTCTACAGCTGCTCTTATAATACAACTGCTGAGTTGAGTAGTTGCGACAGGGACCATATGGCCCACGAAAGCTAAACTATTTACTATCTGGTCCTTGACAGAAAACGTTTTACAGAAAGGTTAATCCTTGATATCAACTTTAAACTTCATGAAAAGATTGGGGTTTGGAAGGGGAAGAAATAATACCCTATAATAATAATACCTGTATTTGGTATTTACGGTAGGGTTTTACATATTTATCTCATTTAATTCTTATAAGGTCCCTGTCAAGTGGGTAGTCTTTATATTTCCATTTTGGAAATGAAGAAACTAGGGTTCCGAGAGGTTAAATGACTTACCCCATAGACTAGAGAGTAAACTCCATGAGTCTAGGGATCATGTGTCTTTATCGTCATATTCGCATCACCTACCACCATGCCAGGACAGAGTGGACACTCAGAAAATACTTGCTAAATGAATGACAGTTGTAATGGTCACCCAGCTAGAGAATCCAGGTCTCCTCCACTTCCAGGGTTCTTTCCCCTGACCCCACAGCTGCCTGACAGTGAAAAGAGGGACTTTCTCTTGAGATAGGATTAAACACAGGATAGTTGACATGTCATTCTGCTGTCAATTGACAAATTTTTGCTGCTATATTTCTTCTCCTTAGTCAAAGATCATCTCAGTCAGACCAAAGGACTTTTTGTTTTCCCTCAAATGCATAGTCATAGCTTTGAGAGTTTTCTTGCACTTGTGATTGGTGCATTTTTAGTAGACAAGATTAAAACTTATGAGCTGGTAGTCACATGGAATCTGGGCTTTGGACGGATTTCAGACAGAGCTCTGCCCGCCCTCCTCCCACCCCCTTGACCCACCTCCCACCCCATGATGAGTCACAGTACACAGACTGCCCTTCTGAGAGCGACTCAAGGCTTTTGTTTTCTTTCATCCTGGTTTGGGCTGGTCATGTGAGGCTCAGGGTATTAATAGACCATTGGCTGGGCCTTCTGAGTCTTGTTGTTGGTCAGAGAGATAAATGAAAGGTTGGGCCAGTCCCTTTGTGCCATTTTTCACTCCTCCCTTGACTGTCATATGCTGGTTGGTGACAGAGCTGAACCGACAGCCAGAGGGCATCCAGTGTGGTCACTGCCCATGGACATGGCCTCAACTGATGTTTTGACTTCTTGCCTCTCTTAATGGGCACTTGGTCAGCTGCTGACTTGCAACCTTGGGTCACCAGTACTAATCTTAACAAGCCAGCCTCAGCCTTTTCTCGCCACCTTCTCCCAGTCAGATGACAGCATCACTCCATGCATGTGAGAGAGATACATAAGCCAGGCAGGAGAAGGGTTTTGTTTTGTTTTGTTTTAACCTAAAGTAAAATTATGTTCAGGAAATTGAAAGTCTGTACGTGGTTTGACAGGCTCCTCAGGGGCTCCATGGGGACAAAATTTTTCAACAAATGCCTTGGAAGCAGAGGTTCTTTGAATTGCCTGTGGCTTTGATTCAAAGGTTTCAGTTCTCTGCAGCCCAGTTTTTAGAATGTCACTTTGCTAGTTCCTTCAGCCTTGATTCCAGCACCCAGCACAGTGTCACCCTCAGTGTTTATTGACCTGAAGTGAAGTTGGGCTGGGGCCTGGCCAGGAGATGGAAACTTCCTTGGAAAGTTTCCTAGGAACAGAGATTTAAGCTTTAACATGAGAGAGCGGCCTTGATTCTCAAGTCTAGTTTACATTACTAGATCTAAGGCTAGTTAGTTTTACTTGGGGGCCTGGTGAGTTCTGCTGAAATTAATTATTTTCACTTTATATCAACCTTTTTGTTTGATAACTCTGTGAAAGCCTGAAGTGTGTTGAGAAGGATCTGCTGAGCCCTCTCACTGCTTGTGGGGTAATTGGTAAAGTTTAGTCTCTTGAGCCTCACTTTGCTCACCTGTTAAGTGGGTTGAACTACATGATCTCTAAGACCCCGTTCCAGTCCAAATTTCATTTTTCAACACTAAAATCTTTGATTTTTTTTTTTAATCTTGCCACATCTGTAAAGAATTTTTCTTCTGAAGGGAAGAAAGACTGGGCTAAGGATGCACCAACTTAAGTTGTTATCTTTATTTCTTCTTGTTTGGCCATAATGGGGGAGGTGGGAATAGGACATACTCCTTCAACAAACCAACCAACCTTTAGTTTCTACCTAATTTGTGCCGGGCACTGTGCTAAGGCCTTTATGTGCGTTCCCTCATTGAAGCTCTCAACAGTCTTGGGGCCTCTGAGTATTATTAGTACAGATGAAGAAACTGGGGCACCAAGAAATTCAGTAACTTGCCCATAGTCACAGAGCTAATAAGCAATCAAATCAAGATTTGAACGTAAGGCTAAGAGCTGCAAGGATCCTAGCCTCTAAGTGGAAATATGTATCTATACTCCACATCCCTGAGGATGTAGATGTTCTCTTCCTGTGAGGGACCTGTTTCTACAGAAAGTTAAGTGCAATGAAAGATTCTAATTAACAGACATTTTTATTGAACACTGCATAAGCAGGAGATACCTGAATAAGAATTCCTGGGAAAGTGCACATCATTGTTGACCATGAGCTTTTAGGTGCCTTGAGAGCGTTTGGTGCCAGTGGGGAAGAAGTTCAAGTAGGGGTAGGAGAACTCCCCCTGGGAGTGATTATGCAGAAGTCCAACATTCACAGGTCACAGGAGGTTTTGTGCCCTTCAGAGTACGTCAGCTTCACTTGCTGAAGTAGGACAAGTAGAATGAATTAGCCCTGGCTGAAGCCAAACTCTTTATATTTAAAAGAAAAACAGCAAGTATATTCAGCCTGATTCCTGGGGTTTGAATTACCCACATTTGTCTTTCACTTTGAGCATCTGCTTTTTATTGCATTGTGGCCCTGCCTGCCATTTATCTCCCCCGTCAGTCTGTATCTACGTGTCATGTGACTCAAAAGTGAAGATTAGAGGAGAAAAATATCTCTGTATGCTAAGCCTGGCAACTTCTATTTTTATCCACAGCTGTTGGAACTGATAGCAAAGTCACAGCTCACATCCCTGAGTGGCATCGCCCAAAAGAACTTCATGAACATTTTGGAAAAAGTGGTACTGAAAGGTGAGCTCTCTCTCACTCTCTCACCCCTTTTTATGGGCATGGGGCTGGGCAGATGGATTTTCCAGTAGAGTGGACATGTCATTCAATTTAAGGGAATGTGAGTGGATGGAAATGGATAACTCTCGTTATACAGGTACCAGATTCCAGTTCAGCAAAAAGTACCACTCACGCTCACGACAAAGGGTGAGACCATCACCCTCCTGTCCTTTCATTGGGACATTTGCTCTGCCATAAGCCCTTCAGGCTTCTCAGTGTAGATACGTGTCCCGACCTTGGCTAACAAGCCTCTGGATTCCAAATTCCTAGGAAATTGAGCTGTGTACAAGGCCGAATAAATTCACTGACTGTTTGAGCTAGAGGGAGCGTTAGGTCTCTGGCTCAACTGGCTCATTGTACATACGGGCAAACTGAGGCCCATGAGAACGAGTGATTTGTCCATAATCACACAAAGAGTCAGCCAGACAGTTAGAACCCAAGCTCCTCACCCCTGGACCCGTGCTCCTACCACTGACCACCTAAAAGGGATGTCACTGCTGGGCAAAAGAAGCTGCTTTCAGATCAAATGAGCCATTGGTGCTGGTGGAACAATCAAAGGAGAAAGAATCTTTGTAGAAAACTAGGGAGAAGAGAACAAAAAGGGACCTAGATAATAGAAACTCTACCCAGTAACTTCGAGTGCAGAAGTTTGAAACCTTATCCCTCAAGGGGATAAACACGAGCAGAACAGAAAAGAAGAAAGACCTACATATGAAATATAGAGTGATCTAGGATCATAACTGTTATTACGTTTTCCTTCCCCGCTCAAGTCCTTGAAGACCAGCAAAACATTAGACTAATAAGGGAACTGCTCCAGACCCTCTACACGTCCTTATGTACACTGGTCCAAAGAGTCGGCAAGTCTGTGCTGGTCGGGAACATTAACATGTGGGTGTATCGGATGGAGACGATTCTCCACTGGCAGCAGCAGCTGAACAACATCCAGATTACCAGGGTAAGCAGGAATGCCCCGGCTTCCTCCTAGCAGGAAAGGCTTCAGTCACTTCCCCGCTGAGTGCTGGGCAGTCTCGCCAGGACTTTAAATCCACTCTGGTGATGGAAGAGTCTGGACTGTTCTGGTCTGATGCTTTATGCTGGGTGCTGAGAGTGGGCTGGGGAACTTCTTGATAAAGCAAAGGTGGGAAGAATTGGACAAAGGATCAAAGTATCTGAAAGATGACAGCCAATTGAAACATGGTGGGAAAAACTAGAAACTTGGCTTTTCGGGAGATGTTGGCTATACCACTGAAATCTTTACTGAGATTTTGAGATCTCTTCTCTTTGCCTATTTCCTCTTAAAGAATGTGTTGTTTACAGCTTTAGGATGCTGCCTTGAATACAGTAGAGCTGTGATGGCAGTGGCTTGGAGAACTGGTACCAACCTTTTAAAATTCTTGTTATTAATAGTTTTTAGGAAGCCTTTGATTAAAGACTGTGAACATACATGTAGGAAAAGACATGAGCAAAAAAAAAAAAAGCCCTATATTACCAGCTAAACTACGATCAGTAGCTTCTTTTGGCTTTTAAAACATACCTTGGCCCTCAGCTCTTGTCCTCTTAATAGTGAGCAGGAGGACAAGGCACACAAAAAATGTCAGAAAGACGCTGGTGTAATCTCTTAAGGCTCCCTAATGGATAGACACACTCAGGCAGCTCACGTCGCACTTGGATTACTTATCACATCCCTGTCCACGGCTGTTTTAAGTGGTTCTAGGACCCAAACTGATAAAGTTTGGGTCTGCCCCATCTCTCCAGAAAGTAACATGAAAAAACTTGTTTGACCTCTTTTAAATATTATTTTACTATATGAAGTCTTCAAACTACAGTGTCCTTGACTTCACCCGTAATAACTTCTCTGTGCCTTAGAGTTTTCAACTCTGAAACAAAGGGAATAATTAGAAGCCTCAGAGTTATGTGCCTTCCTTAGATTCACTTACACTACAACACACACACACACACACACACACACACACGTGGAGCAGAGCACAAGCCCAGATAATCTTTCAAAAGCTATCTCAATTATATGATTATTTTAAAAGTGTATTGTGAACATTTACCTAATTTATTCTAATAATTTACCCCCACTCCTATCTCGCAAGTGTAGGCATAGTTTTATAACGTGAATTTGAGACCCAAATTCCCAGCTTATCTTTCACAGAAAACCCACTTACACCTCCTGCCTGATTTCTGGTGTTCCCTGTAGCCTGGACTTCATACTTACTGGTTTTTCTACGTCCAGGAGAGCATTACCCAGCCAGTGATATAACTGAGCAAGTCCCATTTGTCCCAAGGGCATCTTCCCTCCGGCAGCTTTGGAACACCCATTTGGATGGTCACCCTTGCCCAGAGGTTGCCTCTGTTCCCTCTCTCCGCCTCACAGGAACCCCCCTTGACCACATCCGCCCACGTTCCTTGCACTTCCATGGGCTTACCTCCCCAAAGCCCCCCTTAGTTGACCTACAAACACTCTTGGGAGGTAGCCAATGTAGTTGCTATTACCCTTCATGGAGTGAGGGTGGAGTGGGGACCAGAGAAGCCCAGGGACTTTCCCCGAGTTACACAGCAATTAGGGCCAGAGCTAAAGCCAGAACCCTGGATTCCTTATTCCTAAAATGGCGAAGCTTTCTTAACATCAGTGGTTTCCAAATCTTTTTTCATTCCAGCTTTCTTCCAACTATTTATTCAGTGATCCAGCTTTGTGCAAACCTTTTAAATCTAATGAAATCCCATACAGGACAGATCAAACACTGGCATTCATCTCACCCTCCCCCCCAGCTCGCGGCACTCCGCCAGGCCAAGTATTCTCTGCACGCTCTAAGCGTGGTCCTGCCTCGGGCTTTTAAGCTTACTCCTCCCCTAACCATCCGATCTATTGAAGCCACTATCATATCACCTGCTTCAGGGCAGTTATCAAGATCTGACATTATCTCATATGTGCATTCTCTTTTCTGTCCCCATCCACTGCCTTATACTCTCCACAAAGAAAGGACATTACCGTCTTGTTCCCTGCTCTATTCCCAGTAACTGACGTGGAACAGAGACAGTCAGTAAATTTTAGTTGAATGAATGAATGATTGAAGGGGAATCTCCTCCCACCGCCTACCTCAAGTACTTGTTCGATGTTCAGAGGAATACAATTGGAAAACATTGCACTGTTATGGATGATGATGAAAATTTACCAACTGCAGGATTTGGGGCAAGTCATTCAACCTCTCTGTGCCTCGCTTTCCTCATTTGAAAAGTAGGGGCAGTAATGCCTATCTCGCAGCCCTGGGGTGAGATTTAATAAGTTAATATATAGAAAGCACTTGGAACAGTGCCTGACTTGTAGTAAGTTTTGTAAACGCATTAGCTGTTATTATTATTAAGGGCTCCTTCTGTGGAAGACGCTGTTCTAAGTACTTTACATGTATTAATTAACTCATCTAATGAATAATTGTAGGTAGGAGTCATTATAATAGCTAATATTTATTGGGCACTGTGCGAAGTACTTCTGTGCATTATCTCGTGCACTCCACCCAGCAAAACTATAAGATATGCTTTTCCTCATTTTATAAAGGAGAACAATTAGATTACATAGTTAAGAATAACCTGGCCAGGGCCTCACCACCAGTAAGATGCGTAGCACGAGGATTGAACCCAGGTCTGTCTGCAGAGGCTGTATTTTTACTCTTTGCACTCTTCTCCTTCCTGCCCTCCTTCCCCACCCTCCTTGACTCTGAGCTCCCGTATTCTGAGAGCACTGCTGGGACCCCACAGAGCTGGGACCCTGCGGAGCCCTGAATTGCCGTTCACACAAATGCCCAACTCTCCAGAGGAGAGATAGATCAAGAGAGACAGAGAGAAGGGACTTAATGACTTCAGTCTGTATTTTAAAACTACTTTTTAACAGTTTGGACCAAAGAGAAGTATGTTATTACACGAAAATGTTAAGGTGACATTTACAGTAATTGCTTTCCATTTGCCAAAGTTCTATCAGTATCTTCCCAGCACATAATCTTGTTTTCCTTCAAAATTTAATATCTAATTCTATGGAGCCAATTTTTATTGGCAAAAATAATTAATATAAAAAAGAAAAAAAACTGAGAGAACCGGCTTGTGGGGAAAAAATCAAATAGAATTAGTGTGCTGTGAGTAAGGCAGTGTTTTGAAACATGTTGTGAGGCAGGGGACTGGCTATAAAAGGATTTTAGTCAAATGGTTGATTGGAGGTGCAAGAGTGACTTATTTTTCTTTTATATGTTTATATTCAAAAAGGAGAAGGCACGCAAGCAGTTAACCATTTATCAGGAGAAAGGGCTCAGCATGGGGTCTGGGCAAGGATTTTGGAAAAGTTCAGGTTTGAAAATTTCAGAGTGAACGCTGCCAAGCAGACTTTAATAGGAGTTCATGTAATAATTGGCCTGGGAGTTTTAACCAAAAAAGTAGATGCTTTGAAGTGCTGGAAACAAAAAGAAAATCTCATGGCAGTTTTATTGGCTCATATGATCAGCAGCAGATGATAAATGACAAATAGGTCCAGGGCCTTCTGCAGTCCGGCAAAGTCCTGAATTTTGCAAACAATTGAAAGTTCAGCCCAGCAGCCTGAGCAATATAAGTTGTCAAGTCATAGACACTTCTGATGAGTTAGGAGGCTGAAGCTACTCCAAGTCTGAGATTGTTGGAACTGGAAGGGATCTTCAGAGTCTTCTAAACCAAGTCATTTTGGACAAAGGGAAAATGAGACCCAGACTTCCCAAGGGCACCTGGGATCCAGATCTGCTGCTTGTCCGTCCTGTGTTTCTCCCATGCCACCTCTCGTTCTTCTCCACGGTCCAACTTCCCAAGGCACCCTGCCACGGCCCGCCTCCCCTCTGCTACCTGTCCTCGTTTGCGGGGGCACAAGAAGGAATTGCTGAGGCTGCTCATCCCCCAGGAATCCTGTGTGTCTTTGCTTTGATGTCCCTCCTGCAGAGTTTAGTTGCCTAAAAATTTGAGGAGGGAACTCAATACCCCTTCCCAGGGTATTTTCCCCTGAGCTAAGGAAGGATTTCTTTATCCTGTATTTTTTTTTTCTTGTGACCCCTAGAGGTGACAGAACAGTGAGCTAAAAATGTCTGTAGTTCAAAATCAAGAGCTCACCCAGGCTAGCATGGGAAAGACGAAGAACCCCAGTCTCAGGTGATTTGTGCTGACTTCTTACCAGGTGGCAGCCTCCAGCGGCTGTTCAAGACATATCAACAGATAGCATTGAGGACCTGCTGTGGACAGGTCGTCCCCATAGCACTGTGTGTTGACCTCCTTAACGTCTCCTTTAACGTCTTGTTGTGTAGTTATTTGCTTATGTTTCTGGGTCTCTGGCCAGCCTAATGAGCCCACTGCAGCAGTTCCAGAGCCAGGCCATAACAGTCACTCAGAAGAGGCTTTTTGTGCTGGACTAGTCTTCAAGGGATACCAAGTTAGACCCTGCCTTCAAGGATCTAGGTCTGGGTGGGGTAACATGAGCTCATCAAAATTTAAACAATAACGGGCTTAAATATAAATTCAGGGACACGGTACGAGAAGCTCACAGTGAATTGTCAATGTGTTAGCCACAGATGAACATTTCAGGGTGTTCCATGGAGCCCTAGGTTTGAATAGAGATGCCTCAATGGATGGTGGTGCTTAAGCCAAAAGATTCTGGACCAGCCATTCCCAAGGCATGCATACACATCCACATGTGCACACACACACACACACACACCAGTGCAGGGTTTTTTGTCGTTTTTTTTTTTTGTTTTTGTGAGGAAGATCAGCCCTGAGCTAACATCCGATGCCAATCCTCCTCTTTTTGCTGAGGAAGATTGGCCCTGGGCTAACATCTGTGCCCATCTTCCTCTACTTTATATGGGACGCCGCCATGGCATGGCTTGACAAGCGGTGTGTTGGTGCACGCCCGGGATCCGAACCGGCAAACCCCGGGCTGCTGCAGCGGAGCGCGCGCACTTAACTGCTACACCCCTGGGCCGGCCCCTTTTGTTGTTGTTGTTTTTTTTTACCTATTTAGTTATTTGGGTTTCATCATTCCACAAATATTTATTGAGTGCCTACTATATGCTAGGCTCTCTTCCAGACACTGAGGACCCAGCAATGAAAACAGATAGAAATTCCTGCCTCCACAGAGGGAGCATACCTTCTAGCCGGAATGTTCCATTCAAGCTTTTTTTGGAAAAGAGTTGTGTTACATAACAAAAAGGGGATTGTTGCAAAAAGCTTCTAAAGAGATCATAGGAATTCTAAGAAGGTGCAGTGAGTAGGGCCTGATATAGTCACAAAAGCAGAAAAGGTCTTTCAGAGGAAGTGGGTTTGAACTGGATCTGAGACAGAATAATGGACAGAGAGGACTGGGGAGCATGAGGGCCTTGTGGGCAGGGTGTTTGGGCGCCCTTGAAAGCACCTGCTTGGCAGGATCAGTGGTCACGAGGTGGGCAGTGAGATACAAGGCTGGGGTGGTAGGCGGGTTGCTCTGTCCTGGGCAGAGAGGCCTTCAGGAAGGTAGCAAATCTTGTAATTGAGTGAACTGAGTGAAGCACAAGAATCCAGCCTGTGCTATTTGGAGAATCTTTAAGAGTAAAAGCGTAAAGCTTTGTGCGGTTTAGGAAAATCCTGCTGGCATCATTCAGCTCAAGCCGCTCCAGGCTGTTCTTTGTGGGTCAAGCCATGGGTCCCGTTTCTGCATTTAGGACAGGGAGCATTGCGGCTTTAGATCTCTGGTCAATAAACCAGCTGGAGGGTGGAGGGTGAGGGGACAGCTGCATCCTTGGACAGTGTCATCTGGTGAATCGCTGCTCTCTGTCCCGCAACTTAATGTCATCCTTTTCCCTGCAGCCTGCCTTCAAAGGCCTCACCTTCACTGACCTGCCTTTGTGCTTACAACTGAACATCATGCAGAGGCTGAGTGACGGGCGTGACCTGGTCAGCCTGGGCCAGGCGGCCCTCAACCTGCACGCGCTCAGCGAGGACCGGCTGCTATGGAAGAAGCTGTGCCAGTACCACTTCTCCGAGCGGCAGGTCGGTGGGGCCCAGCAGACGGTCCTTCCTTCTCTCCTCTCTCTGCCCCCCACCCTCAAGCTTCCTTGGCATCCTTCTCGAGCTGGAGGTGTGGGTGCCCACCCTCCAGGGCTCCCTGGTTTGACTGGAAAACAACAGTCCAAGGAGTTTCTAAATAATGCATGTGAAGTTTTTTTTTTTAGGTGGTTTTGATGGGGGAAAAACATTACATTTTTAACCTATTCACATTTTACAACTTGCTCAAAAAAATTTCATGAAGTGGCACTCGTCCTTTTCTGTAACAAAGTAACATACTTCTATGATTACAGCTGAAGTACTTTTACAGATATTATTTCATTTTATTCTAATGACCCAGGGAAGCGTAGGTATCATTATGCCCATTTAAACAGGTAAAGAAACCAAGACCACAAATGGCTGAGTGACATATACAAACTAGTGAAGTGGTTTCCTCTAGGTGAGGACACTAGCCTTGAATTTGAATTTGGGCCTCCTGACACCAGCTCTAGGCCTGTTTCCCCTCCTCACGCTGCCTCAGATGTTTTTTTCCAACTTCTTTATATAGAAGTGTGAGTTCAACAAGTTCTGTTCATGAAGCCACTAATATTTAGATATAAAATAGAGCCACTGTGCCAGGCGGTTACTGCCTCTCCCTGGAAATAATCACTCAAGTCTATAGCAAAGGAAAGATTGAAGTTGTTTATCGAGATCACCTAAACCTTCAAGGACTATCCAAATGCAATTTCGTAGAGGTCACTGGTGAGATGTCACCAGCCACCTGTTTCTTTTAAAGACTCGTTAAAAGCTGCTACTTAACTGGGTAGAGCTCAGAAGTTACTTCTTTATATCTTGGCTATTTTTTCCCTGGCTTTTGCAGGGTATAGATGAAAAGAGCGGCAAAGGGGCCAGAGCAGAACTTTCCAGAAAACCACAAACCATCTTCTTGATGAACTGCCCTGCAATTACTTTTATTTGTTTGATATTTAGATCCGCAAGCGATTAATTTTGTCAGACAAAGGACAACTGGATTGGAAGAAGATGTATTTTAAACTCGTGCGATGTTACCCACGGAAGGAGCAGTATGGAGACACCCTTCAGCTTTGCAGACACTGTCACATTCTTTCCTGGAAGGTATGTGTCTGGGAGGTGGCTGCCACAGACCCCCAGCCCAGCCCCTAAGAGCCAATAGCACGGGCATTGCAGCACTAAATCCTTTTTACTATTGCAGCCCCAAGCTGAAAGTAAAGGAGCCCCCAGGGAGAACAACTATCCAAGACCTTAATTTCCTTTACCTCCTTATGTATATTTTTTCTGCAAGCCACCCACCCCCAAATTCTCCCATCTCTCGGTGCACAGGTGCGCGCACACACACACACAGCTCTTTAGTTTTTCCAGAACTTGTGACATTCTTGACAGAGGAATGTTGTTTTGAAGTTGGGCAATGCCTTAGAGCACTACAAGCCAACAAGAATCTTCTGAGAACTCAAACCTCACCACGATGTTCCTTTCCAGGGCACTGACCACCCGTGCACAGCCAATAACCCAGAGAGCTGCTCCGTTTCACTTTCACCCCAGGACTTTATCAACTTGTTCAAGTTCTGAATCCCAGCACATGACAGCACTTCAGAAGCGTTCCCCTGCTGATTGGATGGTTGGGAATACAGAGTTTGGACACTTCATTTGTAAATAGTGTACATTTTAAACATTGGCTCGAAACTTCTGAGACAAGTCATTGAGAGGACATTGGAGGGGAAAGCTGCAGTCGCTGGCTGGGAATTTAAGAATATGGACTTCTCATTAGAATTGGTATGGAAAAGCAGAGATACTGTAAATAAACTTTTTTTCCTAACGATTTGCCAGCAAGACTATAAGGGCAGGAATTCTACTTCGTCAATGAAAACAGAATTCTCTTAGTGTTCACTCACACTCCTTTATAGTACCCTAGAGATGTGGAAGAAAAAGGCAAAACTCGAATACAAGGTAGAACCTTCTTTGTTTACAATGTGAAAAATTGTTTAAAAAAAGAAAGAAAAAAAAAAGAAAAAACTATGTATGAGAAATCCCTGGGCTTTTGGTTTGATTTTGGGTTTGTTTTGAAAAAGCTAAGGAAGCATCACCCATCTTAAACCCACATGGGCATAAGGCCTTATCTGACAAAGATACCACACATCACACAATAGTCTACCTCGGAAAGCATGCAATGCTCTCTTTGACAAAGTGCATTGTTCCGTAGGCAGTGTCTGTTCTTGTTTCTTCATCATAGAAAAAGTGATTTAAAATGGGAAGGGATATTGGAGGCAATCCTCATCATGTTTCAGACTTCCTTTTTAGGCAAATGGGGCACTCTTTGGAGTTGCCTCTGTTCTAGAACAACCCCAAAGCATGTATGCCCTTTTTTCCTTTCATGTCGTAGCTCATTCAGGGCAATGTAAGGCCAATTAAAAACAGTCCCAGAGGAAGTCCTGCCGCAGAAAAGATAGAATTAGTCACCCAGTAGCTGTGAAGACTTTCTTATTCCTGTTGAACTTCTTGGCTTGTCTGGGCTTCCCTGGGTATCTTCATGGATAAGCATATCTCTGTGGACTGGTCGGAGCCAGAGTGCTGATAAAGTCTTGTGAGACAGGTTTTCCATGTCAGTTAAACGTTTTACCAGCTGCTTTCCCTCTTGGTGAGTGATGAGCTGAGGAGCTTTCTTTTCTTTAAGTCTGACATCAAAATTTAGTCAACCTGAGCTAGGGCTTCTTGCAAGGATGATAAAATAAAGCCTGGAGTTCTAGCCAAATAGGGAACAGAGGTACTGTGAGTTCATCCTAAACTTGCGCCATCCCCCAGGCATCTTGCTAGGCAGATACCAGCAGGTAGCTGTGTGGGAGAAAGGAAATCTCAGGACTTAATGAGTTCATTATCAGATATTCCTGGGAAGGGGGAGGGGATGTTTTTGTTTTTTACTTTTTATAGAACTTTGCTTTTCAACAACAGTGTACATATTTTTGCAGTTTGCAGTTGTATTTGCTTTGCTGTTTTTTTTCTTTTTGCAAATAAAGTTGCCACCCTGCATGCACTTGGCAAATAAGTGAAGCAGAAATAGGAACTTGGTTCATATTCACCATGGGGAACAGTGTATCCTTAAGGGTTGAACTTGGGGTGACCTAAAGAGAGGAAAGATGGTTAAGCATGGATAGAAATGAGCCAAGGGACCAGCTAGCCCAGCAGGACCCCTTCACACCCTTCCCTCAGTGCACAACCCAAGTACCAGCATTCGGAAGAGAAGTCAACTGCTAGTCAACACACCTTGCTTTGCAATGTTTGTGCCTACTCCAGGGTTCCTCAGTGTTTATTTTCATTCTCACCTCCCTAAGAAGAAAAAATTAAATTGAATTTAAATTCTCCCTAATGAAAAAAGTTAAATATTAAAGAATAAGATCTTGTTGGGTACGTTTGAGCTTTGGAGGGCCACCAACCACTGTTGTACCTAAGAGTTTTTTTTACATTTCCCTCCCCCCAAGTCAAGGTCGCATGGAGAATGCAGGGCCTAGACTGTGGAATGAAAAGCTAGTTCTTCCATAATTCAGACAGGTTCTCTCAAATGTCTTAGCTTCCCTGAGGATATGGGGTGGAGTTGGGTTTGTTGTTGCTGTGAGAGCTCTGGGACCCTTGACTCGGATATTTTTATGTTAAGCTTTCGTGGCCTTCCACATCTTCCCACTAACTCATGACCCTTTTCGTGCTGATCAAGGAGGTGGAAGCTCCTCTGCATCTTCAGGTTTGCAGTCCTAGAAATGTTGCCTGCTTTGGACTGTCAACAATGCTCATCTTGCACATCATGCCCCAGGCAGCAAGGCGCATCTTGTAAGATGACCCCTACCACAAGGGACAGGGTTACGGTTTTCTGAAATGTTTACCTAGATGGTGTCTCTGGGTTCTCCCCATCTCCTTTGGCATTATTGGAGGTGGTGTGTGACCGAGTCGAGGAAGATTTTTAAGAAAAAAAAAGAAGAAACCAACATTTGTGGGTCTCTTTCATTGGAAAAGGAGAACGAGGGAAATGGCAGGTGGAGAGGGAGAGGGAAAGGAATAGAAATAGCATGTCTCCGATGCTGTGGTCTGTGTGTGGGCAATGGAGAAGAGCAGAGTGGGTGCAGCGCATCTGTGTTGGCGCCACGTGGTAGCTGTGAAACATGGCTAGAGCCTCACATATGAGGAAAGTGAGTTAAAAAAAGAAAATTCTTGTTTCCTGGGCGCTAATTATCTATAGAATTTTATTGGCAAACCCTCCTTGGACAACCTGATCTAAAACACAAAAACAAAGAATCTTTGTCTCAGAATGGCTGGTCTAAAAGCCAGAAGAGACATGACATGGAAATTGCTAGAAGAGACGGAATGTTCTACTCTCTTTGCTGTACATGCCCTGCACCGTAGAATTTGAAATTGATATCAAATGTGAAGTAATTTGGACTTGCAGAGAAGGAAAGAGTTTTGTCCAGGGCAGGGTGAGCAAATCCACAGGGATGTTACAATTTGGGCCAACTCAAAGGTTTATGGGCCATGAGCCTAGAGTCTCCTGTGAGAAAGGCACAGCATTTGGGGAAAGGAGAATGTGTGAAGTTTAGGAGTGCTAACGTTATAGCAAGATCCAGAAAAAAGTTCAATGACATTTTAAACTAGATTGCGTTATTAATCAATGCTGTTGCTTTGAGCAAATGGATCAGTCGTATGGGAGGGCAGGTGGCAGAAACCACAAAGTGGAAACATCCCCAGGGTGTCAGTTGTGAGATGACATTTGTTTGGTGATGATCAATTTTATATTGAAGTGGAGGAGATATTTTAGATGCGCTGGATTTAACGCTGCGAAACTCAATGCAAGAGCGGGCTTTACTTAGCGATGGTGAAGTCAGGTAATGGGTATGTACTGCATTATTGCCCCATTTCTCATCTTTGTGGATTCAAAAATTGTTTTTCATGAGGAGCTTGTAATTAACAGAGGCTTCTTGTTTCTGTTGTTTTTATGTGGGAGAAGAGTAAGAGCTTGGAATTTTATTTGTCTAAGCAAGTGGTGTGATTTATAAGAAGGTCAATCATTTCAAGACATGTTCAACAGTGTATCATTCTTAGCTTTCAATACCATGTTTATCATAAAATATGCACCTGAGTTTATATTTTTCTGCCAGGCTGTAGGGCAATAATGTCTTGCTATGCAATCACTCTATTTTATGTGTGAATTTTTTTTAACTGTAATTTTATGTGTGAATTTTTTTTAACTAAACTATATCATCATTTTCTATGTTGACATCTGTTGTTTTCTCTTTTTTTAATCTGTTTCCAACTATCTGAGTCTGTGAACCATCCCTTCTGACTGGATGCTGGCCTAAAATCCTATTAGTGTTTAAACAGACCTCAGAAACACTCTGAACCTCTAGGCAAATGCAGAGACAATGGCTCTTTGATATGTCTTGGGTCCCTGATGTGTTCAACAAACAAGATCACAATTCCTTTAAACTCGACATTTTCTGTAGATGCTTTCTTCTATGTTTTGTTAAAGACAGTAAACCCTTCGTGGTTTTCCAAGGGAAAGAAACTCCTACCCCAGATTTTAGAGCTGAAAGGGATGTTAGAGATGGTGGAGTCTGGCACTCCTTCTGCCTTTGAAGACAAGGAAGCAGGTGTAGAATATTCAGGAGACATGCCTCAGCCCACCTGGTACTCAGTGGTGGACCTGAGTGTAAATGTGGCCTCCTGATGCCTTGACTTCGTGTCCCCTGCCCTGGCACCTTTTGACGAGGCTGGAGGCACATGACCCCCGACACGATTCTTCTCAAGACCTTTGCTGTGGAAGGCAAGCATGACGGTCCAGTGCTAGGCATCTGGCCGATAGCTTTTCCAAACGTTTTAAGTCCCTGATTCTTCCTGGAAAAGTCAAGGAGCCACTTAATGTTTTTATAGACTTCTGACTCTGTTGAATACAGCATTCTAGTGAGTACAAACTGTTCACCATAAAGTAAGCAGCATGTTTTGACAAATTCATTTTTCCCTGAGGACTTAACATTTTAATTACAAAGGTGGCCCTTAAGACAGATAACAGCTGAGCAGCCAGCTTGCTTTCTAGAAACTGAGGTTCTGATGGTAATCCAAGCAGGTATTTCCTCTCCCCTTAGACTAAGATACATTTAATCCATCCCCTCTATCTCCCCATCCTCTGGTACCTGCCGTGAGACCCCGTGAGCTTCTGTTTCATTGGAAGTTCACCCTCTGCTAAACCTCATGTTCACTAAGCAAAGGGGGATGTTTCCTTGAGGCAGCAAGGAGCAAGGGGCCACGATATTTATGACTTTGTCTGCTGGACATTTTTCACAGTGTCCTTCAACTCACCCAGCAAACAAAGCTTCCTGAAAAAAATCTCTCAAAACTTAGGCCCTGCTCTATTTGGCCAAAATTGGATGCCTGCTCCAAAACTCTGAACTTCTTGAAACTCCTTCTGCTACATCATTACTTCTGGAGTCTGAATATGACTTGTTCTGTCTTTGAGTATAGAAATGTTTGTTTAATTAATGATGCACAGTCTGTTTAACAGAAGGCTCCAAGCAGTGCTCTACACTTGAGAACTCTTGGCGCCATCTTTATTCTACCGAATGCCAATCACCCGGGCTAAAGGGGGTGTATGTTCAAGTCCATGCCCTAAGCTTAGAAGCTTTAATGTACTTTTTTAATGAAACATACTATAGGGGGTTGAACGTTGTAACTAAAAGGATAGGATTAAACCAATTCCATGCAAAGATGTTTATTTAATATTGTGTGAGCTGAGTCCTTCTGTATAAATTATTTGCACACTTTTCTTGCATGATGAACTGATTTTTTTATAGTTGTTTGTACCAGACAGTGGCATATTTTTGTAAAAATTTTTTTGACACTGAATTGCAATAAATGTTTTCCAACAACACACATTGGTGCATTTTTGATGTGTGTCAATTCAAGTTGGCTTTTTATCATACAGAGTATGTTTATCTTTTGCCTAATGAGGC